TCATGTTCTGTAGCTTACAATGCATTCTTGATGTTTAGGCTTTGATGTTTTCATGGTTTTTTTTCTTCTTTTTATGTGACAATATAATTTCATTGATAATATATTATGCTTCATACATAATTTTGACAAGGAGTAAAGGTCTGTTCTTGCTTTTATTTGCTTATCTTATTACATGAGCTTTGAGGATAGATGATGCTGCCTGCCTCAGATTATCCCAGTTTATTTCGTCTGTATTTCCGAAGGGTTGAAGATTCAGAATAGAAGAGAATGTGGTGATAGGATGTGCTTGTTGGGAACTCTTTAAAAATGTTGCCTTTTCTTAGCCCTAGTAATTTCTGCGTTCATGGTATCATCTATAGACACTGAGCAGGTACCTGCTTTGCTTTCCACGCTAGCTTTCAACCTCAGCCCTGGCATTTCTAGGGCTTTCACTGGCCTATACTGTGACCAAGTCATTGTGACATCACTGAGTTCCCTGTGCCATCATTTTGAGCCACCCCTGAGCCATACCACGGCTAAGAGGGCATAGCAATGCCAAAAAGTTTGAGCTATGAAGATTTTCCGAAGAACATACGTGGGAAGGTAAAGTTCTTATCAGCACACTGTGTCTCGCCCATGTCCCTGTGTTCTCTTGTATTGACATTATTGTGTGTTTTGTTGTGAAGCACCTTCAGACTTGTTCTGAAAAGAGACAAGTCTATAAAGAGGTAAGTGTGTATAATGTTTAATCTAGTGACCAACAGCTGGTTACAAAATCAAAATATTTGGGGTTTATTAAGCTTAATTTTCTTATTTCATTTGATTCTCTTGATTATGGCAGACTGGATTCCCATAATGATCCGCATTAGCATATTCTGTCACATTTTCAAGCCCGGTCGTGTTGTCCCAAACCTAGTACAATCTGAAAACCAATCAGTGTAGTTTCTTTTTTCTAGGAATAGCAAATGGAGGTGGGGAAAGTATTTATATTCATCTTTCCCTCAGGAAATGATCCCACCTTAACAGCAAATAATGTTCTAATACTCTTTGTTTTTATTTGTTCATTTACAACAATTCAGTGTCCGAAGTTTTATTTCTTTGCAGTCAGTTTACTGCTTTCTCTGAAGCTGAATGTGACTCTCCATCCTCAGCAGCCATTAGCTTAGCAACACATCCTTGGCTTATTTAAGTTTCAGGATTCATATCGTGTGACTTTTCCTCCCAGCATCCCATTAACTGTTTCAAAGCAATGCGCCATTGAAGTATTGTGGCCATGTTTCTTGCTTTGTTCTTCTCCCCAGTGGATCTCAAGCTATTGATTCTGTTTGCAGTTGAGGGACGATTTGTGATGTTTGCGGGTAGTTTGATGCTATCAGGTCTTTGGCGATAGCTTCCTCTTAAGTCTTCAGCATATGTTTCTGACATTTGGTGTGTTGCTTTAAAAGTTCTTCAAGCATTATATCTTTGCACATCCATTATTTACATTGAGGGCAGCTCTTCAAAATGAAATTTGTTCACTCTTCCTGTGTTCATAATAGACCCAACAGACACCTGTAGTACTGCATTTCCTTAGTGTTTTTAAAATGGCTTCATGGCAAATACTCATTGCCCCCTTTTTCAGATAACTATTAACCATTTGTGGTACTCTTACTTTAATAACTGTGTTGGGAAATGCTCCTCAAGTGGAAGGAAAAGCAGGAAAAATGGTTTAGGAAGTAATTTCTCTGATGTTCAAGTTGTTAAGTTTTGAAGTTGTGTACTATATTACTTAATACTTTACTATTTAAAATTCAGTAGTAGAGGCCAGACATAGTAGGGTACACCTCCAATCTCAGCATTCCAGAGGCAGAGGCAGGCAGCTCTCTGAGTTTTATGTCATCCTGGTCTACAAAGGGAGTTCCAGAAAAGCCAGGACTATTACACAGAGAAACCCTTTCTTTAAAAAAAAAAAAAAAAAAAAAAAAACAAGCAAATAAAAAATTCTATATCAGTTGATGTTTTTATAGTTCATGATAAATGTATTTATACTGATATTTAAGTTTCTTTCCCATTATAGAAGTAAGAACTATTCATTGTGGATAATAAGGAATGGTCCAGATAAGAAACACTGCCCTCACTGTTTACCCTTCTGTGCACATCTTTATAGCACACTCTATTTTCAGTCTTCCTCCTCTGCTTTTCCTCCCCATCATTTTCTATTTAAAGAACTACCCCCACTTGCTCTTTTGACTTATACCTACCCACAAACACTACACACACAGTTATTATTTTTGACTACTTAAAAGTTATTTTCTAAAATGTCAGTTTTTAATGATTCCTGATGTTTGATCATGTGCCTAGGCCAAAATCTCTGAATTTATTTTTTTTGACAAAATCTTTTAGATTAGTCTTCTATTGTTGGTTCTTATTTTACTTGCTTAAACTCTGTTGTTTTTCCTTTGTTCTTAGATACATATGAACTTTTAAAATCTTGTCTTAATATCTACTACAGTTGAATGCTTTGAAGTAAAGTTGCTGTCAGTAAATTGACATTAGTATTCATGGACCTATCTGTTCTATCTGTTCCTTTTGTTGCTGTGTTAAAACAATATAACCAAAAGCAACTTAGGGGGAGAAAGGATTCATCATCTTACACAGCCTGTTATTGAGGGAAGTCAGTGTAAGAAACTGAAGGTAGGCCTGCTTGCTATACGATGCAGCATTACCTCTGACCTGTGAACTCATGAACAAGGAGGAACAGCAAAACCCATGGACAAAGGCTGCTTGCTGGCTCAACCACAGGCTCATGCTAATCTAACTTTCTTACATATCCCAGCACTATCTGTCTAGGGCTGTTATAAGATGGTGCTGCTCACAGTGGGCCTCGTGCATCAACTAATAATCAAGATCAAGACATGTTCACAGGTAAATCTGATCTAGGCAGTTTGTCTATCAAGGCTTTTGGTAGGCTGTTCCAAGTTGACATACAAATGCATATTGTATAAATTTAAATATGCTTAGTTTATATTTAATTTAAAGTTTTTATAGTGAAATGAATTATTTTTAATACACAACTCTGAGTTCTTATAAATATATATTGTAGATGGAAGTTTCTGTCCTGCCTGGTCCTACAGCTATTCAGTCACAAATAAACACACAAGAGTCTTACATTAATTATAAACGGTTTGACCTATTGTTCAGGCTTATTACTAACTACCTCTTACAACTTAGATTTACCCATAACTCTCATCTATGTTTGGCCACGTGACTTGGTACCTTTTCTCAATAATCATTCTCATCTCACTTTCTCTGCTTCTGGATGATTGACTCTCTGCCTTTCCTCTTCCCAGAATTCTCTTAGTCTGCTCGTCCCACCTACACTTTCTGACTGACTACAGGCCAGTCAGCATTTATTAAACTAATATGAGTGACAAATTTTTGCAGTGTATAAGAGCATTATCCTACAGCAGTATACATTATATACCACCCCCCTCATAACAAGACAGATATCCCACCTGAAAAATTCCTCAAATTCGGCTCTTGGCTACAAAACATCCTTTTATTAATTATGAAAAATAAAAATATACAAGACATTCCTAAAACTATTACCATGTTGCTTTTTGTCTGGGCATTTTCTGGAGTATCTGGGCTTTTTTTCCTGTTTCAGAAGTGTTTATAATATGTTTGTTACTAGTCTGTCCCCCATACTTTTTAGTGCATGTATTAATTTTTTAGTGTATAAATTATTTAGGTATTGGATTGATTGTGATTTCTCTCCTTATAACCTAGCAGCCCTGCCATGATTGTATTTACATGTTGCCAGAATTGCTAAGAAAGTACTGAAATAGAGGAATTTTCACATTTTTGTGGTTGTGAACAATTTTCAGAATTACTCTGTGTTGTCAAATTAATACTTGAAGTGCTTAGGCTATTTATATATATGACAAGCAATATAGATGAAAACCCACTTTCCTGTGTTCTCGCCAATATTGATGATTATAATCTTATATTTTGTCAATTTGGCAGATGAATAATACAACACTATTTTTTAATCTGCGTTCTTTGAATTCACCACTGTATTTTTCATTTGCTTATTATTGCTCACCAGTCTCTATAGTGTGTCACTTTTGGCTTTTGTTAAGAAGGATAAAGCTTAGTATTTAAGCCAAGATCCTTCTCTATTGGTGATCTTAACTTTCACAGTTATATCTTAGAGGTTTTGTCCTCTTTGTCACTGACTTATTTTGATTTTTTTTAGTTATTTTTTGTAATATGAATATTTTTATGAACCCAGCAATTTTCAATTTTATTAATTTATATTTTGATCATGCATATTGAATTTTAGTTTTTTTCCTCTTTAGATCAGTTCTCATCCTGTGGGTTGTGGCCCTTTTGGGGGATGGGTTTAAAATGACCTTTTCGCAGGGGTCACCTAAGACCATTGGAAAACACAGATAATTAAATTATGATTCATAAGTTAGAAATTACAGTTGCGAAGTAGCAATGAAAATAATCTTGTGATTGGGAGTCACTGCACATGAGGAACTATACGAAAGGGTCATAGCATATAGGAAGATTGAGAACGTGTATTTGGATGATAGTTACATGCTTTTCTCCCACTTAGCATTATTTGTCAAAAATTCCTTCCATATTTTTTCCTTTGTGATCCTAAAAGACTAGTAAACTTTTAACTGTATTGCCAAGAAAATATAGATTATTTACTTGAATATAAATGTTTTTATATGATCTTAGTGCTGTATGTTTCTTAATATCCACCATATCATTTCAAGTCGCATCAACATGTCATTTGAAACGTACTTAACTTTTAAGAGCACAGTGACACCTAAATGTGTTCTAAATTCACACATCTTTTATTTCCACATTATGATGATGATGATGATTTTGGTTTGTATTTTCAGTATCTTCTACCAGATTTAAGAGAAAAGTATATATGTATATACTATACATGTAATATTATATTAATGTGTAATATATATTATGTATATATTGCTAAATATCTGTTTATTTTTAACATGCTGCAGGATATTGAAGATAAAGTAAGTAACAATAGCAAAACCTACAAATGAACAAATGGATTTATGTAAACTAAACAAAATTGAACAGTTACTGTTATAGAGTGAGCCAGGTAACATGTGATAACTTTGCAAAAGAATATGAAACATGTACAAAGATTGAAATGCTTTTTAAAAAGTTTGTAAAATAAGATCTTGTAAATTAATATTATAATTAAATATCTTAAATTACTTTATTATACTTAAATTTTTCAAATAAAGAGTAAACCATTATTATTGCGTCTCCATCCTTTAAGCTGCTACTTCTTCATGTGTAGGGAAAGGGAATGAGTGCATGCAAAATACATGCAGATAGGGAAATGGAATATACATACAGGTGAGGAAATCAAATGAGCACATACAAATACATACAGGTAGGGAAATGGAATATACATACAGGTGGGGAAATGAAATGAGCACATACAAATGCATACAGGTAGGGAAATGGAATATACATACAGGTGAGGAAATCAAATGAGCACATACAAATACATACAGGTAGGGAAATGGAATATACATACAGGTGGGGAAATGAAATGAATACGTTCATCTATATACAGGTTGCACTAATCATTTAAAAGTTCTCCAATGTAAGGTTCATGTGCATGTGCTATTTAGGCAGTTTATAGGTTATTTGGGATTAGCAAGTATATATCTAATTCCAAGAATCATATCAAAGTTTCATTGTGCAGACTTTTAATCCTAAAAATTACTCTTTGAAAGAGAAGTTAAATAAGACAGTCTGCTGTACACTGTATTCGAAGATTTCCAAATACATTTGGACAAAGTAGGGCACAGCTGTTACAGTAAGAAAAAACACAATGCAGTTTCATTCTTTACATATAAATGCAGTAATCATCATCATATTAATAATTTTCAATGGCAGAGACCTAATAGATTGCAATAAACATCAGCTCTGTATGTGTTTATAATACAGTTTCTGCCTGAGTTTTCTTCATCTTTGCTGCTTTTGCTTTTTCTCAATATAGTATATTCCTCATGTCTTTTTTAGGCTCGGCAGCTGGAAGAGAAAGACCGAGTGATACGGAAGCAGGATGCATTTTACAAAGAGCAGCTGGCCAGACTGGAGGAGAGGGTATGGCTATTTCTTGTCATTACTTCCTTCTCTTCTCTCTCTGCATCTGTAGCTCCCCATATATTTGTTTAAAAACCAACAAATTAGCACTAAAGTTGCTTGTCCTAGTTAAGAAGTGAGGAGGCTAAGCAACTAGGCCGTTGTCTCCAAAAATGTTGTTTTGTGTATGTTTGTGTGGTTATATTATTGTTTGTTGTGGGGTTTTGTGTGTGTGTGTGCTCAAAACCTCCTTTACATAATTTACATTATATAATGCGCTGTAATCTTCATCACCTCAGACCAAACAGCAGGCCACTCTTTTGAACTTCCCAAACACTGTTTATAGCACACTTGAGTGCATTCCTGGACATGATGCTGTTGTTTATCGTCTTTGGGGTTTTAGCTCTTCTTTGTATCTTTGAAACATTCTCTGTCTTGAATTCACTATGCATGTAAGGATGACTTTGAACTTCTAATCCTCCTGTCCACTCCTTTGAGTGCTGGGGTTCCCCATGTGTGCCAGCATACCTGGCTTGAGGTGGTCCTTGAGGTTTTGAAGGATATGCTGTCAGTGAAGCCCCATTTTGCTGCAGTTACAACTACAATTCGATCTCTCCTTCAAGGCGGTAACAGGAACTAAAAATATGTAGGGCTTACTAGTGGGATTTAGGACGGCAGGAGGCATATGCCTAGTTAGCTCGTCCTTACAAATGGACTGAGACATAGCAGAGGGATCGGGACCGGAGGAATACAAGACAGTGGCCTAAGAGTGGTGTGTAATGTCTTGTCAGAACCCCTGTTCAGTGAAAGCGATTTGTTTAGGTTATCTTTATATTGAATCCATGGAATTGCAAACTGACCTTTCTCCTGTGTTTAAGATCCACTGTTTGATTTATTTAGAATATGACATTTGATCAAATGTCGGGAAAGAAAGAAATGGAACATTGAATTCTGCTCAGTGCGGCTATTTGTATTTCAAACACATCTTCTTGTCCCCTTCCTTGTCGCGGGGTCAGCACGTCTTGAATAGGATCATTTTACATAACTGATGTTTGTCAGGTGCTGGTGTTTGTGCCCTTATACATGTAAGCTAAACGTCTACTTTTGTGGAGCTTAAAGTCAGTTATATAGTGTACAACAGCATAGATGATGTGGAAATTAGTAACTTAGCAGGGAATATGGAGTCTCTCAGCCAAGTGTAAGCCTGGGGTTGCATGAAGAAGGACGATCTATATATAATGGGATAGCAAGGAACAGGCCTTTAGTTACAGGCAAACAAGCCAGGGTCACTCCTGAGATAGGGGTTTAGTATGCACATATGGGAAGGACAGAAGAAGCCTGATGACATCACCAGACAGGCGACTACCTTGGGCAAAAGTTGAAGCAAGAGAGACTTGGCAAAAGATTAATTTATAGTTGAGTTGGCATGCTGGGCGTGATGGCACATACCAGTTAGCCTGGCACTTGGGAGATGAATCCAGGAGGATCAGGAATTGAAAGTCATCCTTGACTACATAGCAAGTTTGAGATTACAGTGGACTATATGAGAACCCTATCGAATTGAGGTTGCGGGGGAGAGGAGGAGGTATTTGGATGGCCATGGCTATTACTATGGTGCTAGCAGTGACAAAAACAATTTTGGTTGTGCATGTCAAAGGTAGAGACCAGATTTGATTATGGTTTTGAAAGTGAATAAAAGAAAGGCTTCTAGGTCTAGTCTTATAGATAAAAAGAAAGGTTTATTTGTAGGACAAGATTATGTAGATTATCAATTAGGATATTGGTGGTTGAGTTAATAAGGGGTTTGGTTTAGCCATTATTTGTGGTACTTCTTAAAACATTCAAGTAGAGATGTTGAGTAGGCATAATATGGAATGATTTAGAGAAGCAATCAGTGATAAAATCCCCACAGTAAATATTTCAGTTAACGTGGGCTCCAATGCATCCTCTTTTGTCTGTGTCCAAATGAAAAGGACTGTCTATGTACTGAAGTTTAAATCTTGTATAATTTTTACATCATAAAAAAGTTTTTAAAAATTTAATCATTTACCTGTATGAAGACCATTTTCTCTACCAGGAAGTGAGCCTGACTTGATGTCAAGTCAAAGTCTTCAGACAGGCCACTTCCTGAACCAGTTCTGACGTCATTTGCCTTTCCTTCACAGACTGTAATGAAACTCTTACTTATCTTTCAGTTTCTCCAGCCATTAGGAGAACGGAATGTTATTTGTATCAACTGACTTGTTAAAATGACCTAAATAAGGAGGGTGGTATGCAAAACACCCTGAGTTCAATCCCAGGTAATACCCCTGCCGAAATAAAAGAGTGACATGACAGCTCTTTAAAAACTGGCCAGAATTTATCTGTTGAGCTATTTTCATCATAGGACATACATTCTTCATTGTAAACAAGATTCCAGTAGTCATGAAATCACTTTCGTGTCACTCAGCCTCGGCATGACGTCTCCCAGTTCTGTAAAGTCCTCTTTCCTTTATTGTTGATATTCCTAGAGGACCTGTCATTTTATCTAGGTGAGTTTGATCAACGAATACATGAAGGGTAGTCAGTCTGGGACTAGGCATTTTACAAAACTTGTAAAGGCATTTTCTTTTGTATTGTCAGTGGTTGTGAAAGTATACTGTGTAAGCATTTCTGAACATACTTGGTGTTAAAAAGTATAAAAGTGCTGAGCTAAATGGCTCTTAATATAAGAAAAAAAAATCATGATAATGTGAGTGTGGGAATCATTTGTGTGCAGTGCAGTCCAGGTTGCTATAGCTTGAGAATGGATTTGAACATGTCTGTCTTCTGGAAACAAAATAGACTTTTTCATGATAAATTGTTTTGGTGGATAATTTGTTTGGTGTGGATTATTGACACATTCTTAAGGAAAATGCATTTTTGCCAGCATTTCATTGGTTCTAAGGATGAAGGACCCTATATCCCCAGGCCATCTTGGAAACTTGATCCCTTTGAGGGTTCCAGTGTCATGCATGTATAACTTTTTAATTTTTAAAATAAAGTGGAATTAATTCTTTGCACTGAACCAACCACTTTCTTCTTGGCTCTCTTAAGGATATGGGGTTTGGCACAGCATGTACGGGAGGTGTAAAAGCCCTGGTGGCCTTGAGAGCTCAAGGAAGTGTAAACTTAGTGCTCAGACCAGCCTGGTCATGTGGCACATATAACTTGCATTTTATAGACTCCTGGGTTTCAGTAGCAATAGACATACACCTTGCAAGAAACCACCTAGAATTAACACAGTAAGGGAATTGTACCAGCTGGGTAGAAGAGGACATTGAAAGGGAATAATGAAAAAATAAATTACCATTAAGAAGTAAAGTATATTACTGGCTTGTCACCTAGGGAGAGAGTTACTAATTAAATTCTAAGGTCATGCTTTCATCAAATGAGCAACTTTTTAAAAGCCCCTCACTTCCGGTGGGCGGCAAATCTTCGGCAGCATCAGAAAGTGTTGGGCACCTCTGTATGGTTAATTGCTAGTAGGATTGCTTTGCTTTTTGTCAGTTGATATTTTTACCTATGTTTCTTTGTGGAAAGCTTAGAAGAAGGGTAGAAACAATGCTAATAGGTTATTGTGTACCAGATGTACTACATATGGGAGAAACTGTTATATATATATATACTTTTACTACCAGATGAAGTCTTGTAAAATCTGTCCCCAAGTTAAGCCAGGGTAGCTTGGATATAATCACTAAAATCTGAGATAATAAAATAATAAATAATCTTATGGAATGAGGAGGTATTAAATGGGTTTACCTCATTTAAAACAAAAGCCTCTCCATTGTTTTCTCGCTACAGCACTTTAGAAGCAGTTGTCAGTGCTTTTAGGTCAGTGGGTAACTCACTGTGGCCATGAATGTGAGTTGGCAAACTCAGCACGATAGATAAAAAAAGCCAAGCTCCTCCAGCCAGGCCTGCATAGAGACACTTTGTTCCTTTGACATTTGCGAATTTTGTATAGGTTTCTTAATTCATGTGAAAAATAGGGCAGATTCCCATGGTTTCTGTAGTTAGAGAAAATTGCAGAAACAGATGAAGTTCTCTGGTCCACATATTCATACATTGTAGGTGCTCAAGCCACCGTCATGACTGCAATGCCATTGAGAGTGACAGATCCCAGCAAAGCTGCTTGTGGTATGTTTTATACATTGTGAGTTACGCTCTTAAATAAAAGCTTTTTTTTCAAGTGGAGTTTCAAATAAATGCATTAGAAATTAGTCGGTAGAAAAATGAATGCAGCCGAGTCTAGTCACACCGTGTCTTTGTCACCACAGCAGACACAGCTGATTATAACCTAGATGCAAACAGTGGGCCATTTTGCACTCTGACCTGTTTCTTAAAGGAGGGTTATTACAGATACTCGGAAAAGTAGCAAGCAATGTGAGTTGATGTCACCCCCACCCTCTTTGCTTGCTATTTTATTCTCTCGGGGTGGGGGGAGGAATCAATGCAGTTTAATAGATATGGGATCTTCAATTCAACAAATCCTTCAAGTACGTTGACTTTTCTGTTAACTTCTCTGAAATTTCGAATGGAAGATGTGGTTTGAGTAACCTTGAATTGCTTTTTTAATCTGGCTTTAGGGATATAAAGCTTGTGCTTTTTTCCCCTAGGGTTAGCTTTTAAAGTGTATTCTGTTAAAATGATCCCCATAACTGTAGCCAGTTCTTCTATGTCTAACTTTAGAGGAAAGATTTGCAAATCATGGGATCAGCACTTAATTTGGGCTCTATTTACCATGTCGGCTGTCAAGAAGCATTAACCTTAAGGTAAGATGAGAACATGGAGTACAAAGCTGTGAGCTGATGGCATGCAGTACACCAGGTATTAAATAGCATTATCCATCCTGCTTGCTCCAGTAAATAGGATTCCACTATTATGATGTGTCAGGGCTTTCAGTGAAATCAAATTTACAAGACACTGAACTGCCTTCCTCTCTGCTGAGCAGCTTTATTCTGGGATCTTGCTTTCATATTAATCCTGTTGTAGGAAATACT